CTCCCTCCACTTTTCCCCACCAGCCCCGGAATTTCAGAGTCAGGCAAACAAAGACACTATCAGCCCTCTCCTCGGGCTGATAGAAGTTAGAGTTCCAAATGTCCGCTCAGAAACTAGTTAATAACATCCTGTCTGGGTTGGAGATTTGTGGGAGTGGGGAGGAACAGGGTGGCTGGTATCTACCACTGGCTTCTGGTGTGTGCTTAGGGCCATTACCACGTCACTTGCATCTTCTCCTACAAAGAACCCACAGCAGGGGACCTGAGGGGCGTGGTGGGGGGAGCGCTCAGAAGAGAACCCAGGCCTGGAGATCTGAGCAAGCTCGTTGGACTGCATGTCTCCAGCCCTCCCGACACTCTGTTTTGTAGAATGTTCCCTCACAGCCTGCTTTTAGGGAAAAGAAGCACCTTAGCTTTCTAATCCTGTATGACTCAGGCACCTACAGATTCCCCACTCTGTTCTTCTTTCCCCTTCCTCCAGCAAAATATAGTCACCTCTCAGGCACATGTGACTTCTGAAAGACAAGACAGTCTCAAAAGTGCCCCCAGGCTTCTGGTCTAACCTGGAGGTTGACAGAACGGTGGAAGGCTGGGGTCCCCCTCTTCCTTTAGTGCCTCCCAGGCGTCTTTATGAGAGAAGAGCCCATAGCCAAGGGATGGGGAATGAGGAAGAAGCAATGTCAACGGGAGATTTGGATTTGTTCATAGTCAGAAATCCAGTTTAAGGGTAATCAAAATTCAGATGTGTCTATATCAGTATGGACACCTTACCCAACCTACCTTCTTCTAGAGGCTGAATGATTAAAAAAAAAAATGAATCAGACCCACACTCAAATCCTGACTTTTCTACCTAATTGCTGTGTAACCTTAGGCAAGTCACTTAATCTGATTCCCCATCTATAAAGTGGGCATTGTGGTATTTGCCTCACCAGCTTATTGAGGGACTAAATGAAGACATGTCAAAGAACGGAGCAGTGACTGGGCATAACCGGAAAGTAGGATGCCACCTGCCCCCACCACCCACCCCTCTCATTTTGACCTTATTCAGCCTAGAGCAAAGTGGAACGTTACCTTTCCTTTTCCAAGGTGATTATAAATGTGGAGCTGACTCTATCACGGGGCCCTCCTTTAAATGTCAAGAGGAGTTTGCTTTAGGCACGCAAAGTGTGCTTGAATCCCTGAGAAGTAGAAACCAAGATGACATTCAGACCAGGCCCCAGGCAGAGGTGGGAAGGGGAGAAGGGCACCGACAGAGGCAGGAAGGATCTGGGGCAGATGCCATCAGGACCCAGAGCCCGAGGGTGGAGGGAAGTACATCCAGGATGGTGGGTTGGAAGCGCAGGAATGGGAACGCGGGGCGGGCAGGGCCCTGGAGAGCCTGTCACAGGGCAGAGGGGGTGGAATAAAGCCACATTTCCAGGCCCCCAAGCAGCCGAATACTGCTGAGCTGTGAGGAAGATCCAGGAAGTCAGAAAACTGGCATACACCAGAAGATGATGCTCACCTCCAGAGACCCAAAATGGTGCCAAAGGCAGCCCAAGAGGCAGAAGAACTGGAACTTGAGCATGTGGCCCTGCACTGGCTCCAGTGACGAAAAGGAGTGGCAGCAGGAAGTCAGCGGAGACCATGGGTTACTTAACCTGAACCAAGCTGAGCAGCAGGAGACAGTGAGGACACCTCCAACATGTGGGCCTGTCCCCCAGCGGAGGAAGGTTTGGGCTGGGTAGGAAAGAAGGGGAACGAAGGCTGCACGGGACTGGACAGAGACAGCCTCCTCCTTCCTATTCCTGTGCTAATGATTTCATGGATTAGTTCATTCATCTTCTCAAAATCCAAGAGGCAGGTGCTATTAATATCACACTCAATAAATGATGAAACCAGGGGTCACCCAGCTGGGGGTTGAGGTGGGACTGGACCCCAGCAGTCTGGCTCCACCCCCACCTATCTGCCCACTGTGCAGGGTGTTAGCTACTTGCAGGGTGTTAGCTGTCCTGCTCCTCACTGCAGCTCCCAGAGGGAGAAGAGACAGCCCCCACCCCACCCCCATTCTGAGGCTGCTGCCATGCTACAGATCAGGGCGACAGAGGGAAAGAAAAAGCTACTGCAGCCCAGCTGGTTGCCAAACAAGAATCCCCCATCTCCATCCAGATGGCTCACCAATCCCACTGAGGGCTCTTTTCTCTGGCTTCTTCATTGCCTCAGCTTGGAGGGCCCCCAGCAGCTGTCCCCAGCACATATGACCCATAAATGCTTGTGTCCTAGGTAAAGAATGAAGCATTTCCCAGGATCTGTCCAGCTCCTTGTGTGCTCTGTGGTGGCAGGCCCAGAAACAGAGGCCCTAGCAGAAGCCAAAGGCTTCTTTCTGGGTGAAAAAGCACATCTGGCTGAAAGGCAGAAATGAAAGGTCCACTAAACCATGGGAGTGGTTTCTCTCTCTGGGGCTTCTTCTCTAAGCCTGGGGAATTCTCTGGGCTCCCTGGCCTTATCCCAGGACTCCAAATCCCAGCCAGGTACTTGGTGTACCCAGAGCTGCTCGCTGGTTGGTCCCTGTTCTTACACATGGCCCAGCATCTTTGATGGCAGACCGCTGCTAGTCCAGGGTCCAGAAAACAGAGCTGCCAAAATCCCAAAAGAGAAAATCCCTTGAGTGGTCCTTAATCCAGAGTCCAGTCTGCAAGACAGCTCCCTTGTACTGAGAGGCAACATGGCAGCAGGTTCCAAGAGGCTCCAAGCATAGGAGTTCTGAGAGAGCAGGTTCTTGGGCCTGGCTCAGTCACCAACAGTGTGACGCTGCGCAACATGCTTAACTTTTCTGGGTTTCAGGATCCTTTATTTTATTTTATTTTAAAATTTATTTTTAGACCGAGTCTCACTCTGTTGCTAGGCTGGAGTGCAGTGGTGCAATCTTGGCTCACTGCATTCTTCACCTCCCAGGTTCAAGCAATTTTCTTGCCTCAGCCTCCTGAGTAGCTGGGATTACAGGCATCTGTCACCATATCTGGCTAATTTTTGTATTTTTAGTAGAGATGGAGTTTCACCATGTTGCCCAGGATGATCTCAATCTCCTGAATTTGTGGTCCGCCCACCTCAGCCTCCCAAAGTGCTAGGATTACAGGCGTGAGCCACCGCACCTGGCCAGGATCCTTGATTGTAAAATGAAGATAGCACAGGTTGTTGGGAGGTTTATATGAAGACAGACATCCAGTGCTCAGAGCACTGCCTACCGTGGAGAAGGCTCTCAGTGAACAGGAGCCATTGTGATTACGGTTGTTGATGGTGTTGCCATCACGGCGGAGGCCATCTCGCCAATTCCTCCTGGTGCACCCTGATCACATCAGCCTCAGAGAGGGGTGTGTCCAAGGATGACTCAGCCTGCCCAACTCTTTGACGAACGCCCTCATCTTCCAGAAGCCGCCCACAGCAAATGACAATGTTACAACATAACCAGTAGGAGCCCCAGAAAGCTTGCTGGAGGACACTGGGCCGTTCCTCCAGGCCAGGTGCCCAGCCGGCTGACTGCAGTTGAGATGACCACACACAAGCCTGCACTCCCCAGCCCCATCTGTCTCACCAGCTCCTGTGCATCCAGCCCAGCAATAAATCACAGAAACAGTGCTCCCAGGAGCATACAGAGGCTGCTAAAAATAGTCATTGCTCTTTCAGACCGTGGGAGAGAGATGGGAAGCAAGTGTCCACAGTGCCTGCAGGAGCCAAGGAGAGTCCAGGAAGGAGCTGCAATTCTCTGTAGAGTCTCCTCATCATCCTGCAGCACTCAGGCCCCAGGATGTGTTATGCTCAGGGAGAACGGTACTGTTTGCTTTGTGCATAGGGTGGAGGAAGCACTCTGCGACATTTCTGACACTCTGCCCTAGGGTGAGGTCTGGCTGCCTCTGGGAAGGTTGAACTGGTCTGAGCCAGGCATGCAATACTCCAATAACCTGGGACCATCAGTTTGTTTTGGCCCCAATACAGCCTCAACGCTTCCTGGGTTAAGTACGGTCACTGAATCTTCAACCCAAACAAAACTTTAAAGTCCCTGGATTCAAACCCCTGCTTCAGGGAGCCCTGCACCCACAAGGAGGACAGGACACACTGTCCCTTCCACCAGCCAGCTTTTTCCCTCCCAACCAACAATAAACCAGTACACATTCTTTGGACAGAGCTGTCTTGAGATGAAAAAGTTTCCTAACTCAGGGTAGCTCTGGACCAAAGCCACTTCCAAAGGTCAAAGTGAACATTGTCAGCCAGGCCAGGTGCTATAAGCCCAAGTGGGCTCTGCCTTCACTCTTGTTTTGGTTTAGCACAAAGTGACAGGAAACCAAGGTTCCCCTGACCCAGAAACTGCTCTCCATCCCTAGAAGCCAGCTGAGAGCAAAAGGGACTATTCTCACTTCTTCCCAACCAGCAGCTTCCACATTCCTGGCCTGAGATCCTGAGATCCAGAGACACCGAGACTCAGCCAGACAGGCCTGGCTGGAGGGAGACAGCTGGTTTGAGATGGTGGAGCCCAGAGGAAATGGCCGAAGGAGGGAATAGGAGAAAACTAACGCTGGAGAGGGACGCTCTAGAGAGCTAACACAGGCTCCGCAATCAGATTCACAACGCTGATTCTCCCTCTTCCAAAACGCTCTCTGGCATCTCACTTTTCCAGGCAGCCTCATTCCTCAGATCAAAGCTCCTCTGCCCACCATGTAGGGGCTGTGGAGCCTTGTCCTTGGCCTCTCTTCCTCCTAGAATTTCAGCTCATTTAGGATAGGAGACCAGGATCACCACCTCTTTCCCCTTCAAGCCTGCCTACTTCGTATTTCAGATCTTAACATGCAACCAATCCACACCCTGGGCTAGGAAGATTCTTGCAGCCCTTGTGCACAAACACAGTCTAGCTTTGTTGACAAAGTATGAACAGTCCTCGCACACACCGCTTCAGTCTTTGAAGGCCAAAGCAGGAGGAACGGGGTGAGGATGCGAGGCCCAGAGGGAGGGCAGAGTGGGCCATCCTACCTCTCTCCTGAAGGAGCCATGGTCCGGTTCATCCAGCGTCTTCTCAGTCTCCCTCCATGGGGACAGGTAGGGAGGGAAGCTAGGCATTTCTTAGGCCCCAGGCCATCCCAGCTGGCAGACTTAGGCTTCAGCAAAATCCCAGCAAGATCTTCTATCCCTGAATGCTGGCCTCAGAGAAAACACAGCAGCCCTACCCTGGGTGGAATCAAAATTCCTGGCTTCCCTGCTCCTTGTCACCCCGCACCGGACACCTCCCCAGCTCTCCGTGGCATAAACAGAGCTTTATTATCTCAGGCCCACCACGTCCTGTGAGAGTGTCGTGAATGGAACACCACACAATACACTTGTTTATTAATAAGCACTCGCCCCTCCCTCGGCCGGCTTGCTCACTTGCTCACCGCTGGGTCCCCCTCATGCATAATGGAAGAGTTGTGTGGCCCATGACACAAGCCAGGCTGTGCTCTTGAGGGGACAGACAGAGAGACGTACCAGGCCGGGCCAGGCTCCCCAAGGCGGGAGTGGGGTGGGGAGCAGAGCCCCCGTTAAGATTCAGAGACGTCATGTTTTGTAGGAGAGCGCAGTGTGGCGGGAGTCGTCCTGGCCCTCCTCATACAAACGTCCTCCAGGAAGCCAAGCCAGGGGTGGCAACTGGTCATGTAGCCTTTATGTAACACCCACCCTGTTCCATCCAGGGCTGTGCGCTGGCCCCAGTGGCTGTCCACGACTTTGGTCCCCTAGTCCACTTCTGCTTGAAGGCCCCAGGACAAACCTCTCTCTTCCACTTTACAGCCCATTACACATTTGACTACAGCCATGTGCGTGGCCCTTGCCTCTGTCTTCTGCAGGCTAAAAACCTCCAGTCCCTTCAACCTCCCCTCTTCCACTCACCACATTGTCCTGCTTCCTCTGAGATGGGCAGACTTCAGTGGGTCAGGGATTCTCCTAGAGCCTAATGCTCAGCAGTTCTACCCTCCTGACAGAGCATCCCCTGACAGCAGCCTTCCCAGAAGGGAGTTTGGAAAACCATGGAAACATCTTAAAAATGTTTATACCCTTCGTTCCAGCAATTCCATTTCTGGGAATGGATCTTGAATAATCAAAGATAATTGAAATATTTAAGTCACACAAATATTCAGCAGAATATTGTTTATAATGATTAAAAAAAAGTCAGAAACAACCTAAACAACCATCACTAGTGGAAACGATAAACAAAAGATGGCGTGCTGTGGTTTGACCGTCAGCACAGTGTGGAGATCATACGCGTTCTAGAGCGGGCGACCTTGCTTCAAAATTTGGCTCCGCCATTTATTGGGTGTGCTGTCTTGGGCAAGTTACTTAGTGTGGGCAAGCCTCGGGCAACTGTGCCTCGGTTTCCTTATTTGTATAACTGGGATCACAGTATCGTCTTGAGTTACAAAGATTCTATAAATGCCAAATATGCATGGTAAATGCTAAAAAAAAAAAAGAGTACTGGTTTGTACTCTTAAAACTCTCATAAGCAGTGAAATATGATATAATTATCAAAGTGACAAAATAATACAGGAAAATATTTTAATCAAATGGAAAATTGAGTGAAAAAACAGATTACAAATATAGGAGAAGAATGACTATCTTTGGGTAGTGAAATTAGGGATAATTTGCTTTTTTTCCCCTTTGTGCTTATTTATCTTTTCTGAATGTTCTGCAAAGGAAACATAAATCACTTTTGTTAACAAGAGAAAGTGCTTGCTGTGGCATGGCACCCAGAGCAGGGCATAGCTTCCCCACCCAGGGCACAGGGCAGCCTTTGGGACAGGCTCATGTTGCAATGCCTCTTCAACCACCACATCCCACTATTGGCTCATCCTGAGCTGCAAGTCAACAACCTGCACCCCCGCTCTGGCCCCCTCCCGCCCCACATCTAGCCCCCAGCTGGCCCCTCCACAGAGGCTCCTGTTGAGCCATTTCTCTTGCCAACAATGATTGCAGGGCTAATGGAGTTTGTATGGGAATGGGAAGGATAGAGGGGAAAGGTACAACCAGGGTGGAAGGTGTTGGCCCTAAGACTCAGAGCCAGAACAGAGTGGGCAGCCCAGGTCAGGGGCAAAGTCCGCCCAGGAAGAGGTAGCCCTTTTCCATATCAGCAAGGTACAGAGGGGTTAATGGAAAGATCAGATTGATCCCATATTGAAGAGGAACAAAAGGGGATGAGATGCTGAGAAAATCGGATGGCAGCCAGGTGAGCCCCCGCTGGATGGCCTGGGGTCGGGGGTGTGGGCAGACCCAGAGGGTAGCTGCCCTCATGCTCCTGCCTCCTGTTCTCTGCCTGCTCTGAGCTCAGCACAGTGTTGGAAGACATCGCTTTGCAGTTCCTGTGGCTTTTCTCCTCACAGAGGTGGCCACACCAGCCCATCTCCCAAAGCCACCTGTGGACAGCAGCCCCTTTCTCAACCCAGGGAGCTTGATGCTGATAGGGAACAGGAAGCCAGGAGGGGTTGGCAGCCAGCAAGGAGGAATGTGGTGGGGGAAGACAGCTGCTGGGCTGGCCTGAATGTGGGTCACATTCACAGAGGACAAACCGCGCCAATGCAGAATGGCTCTAGTAACAGCTGGCCTGCCTGGGGGAGAGTGCCAGCACGTCCTAGGCATCCTAGGCAGGGCACTGGACTCCCACTCCCCCACAAGGCTCACTCCCCTGCCAGCCACAGCTCCCTCCAAAGAGGTCTGGTGCGCCACATCCAGCCCATCTGCTCTCCCACACCAGAAGAGATCAGCAACGCAATGACTTAGGCGAACTGCTGATCCTGTGGCCATGCGCAGCCCACAGGGACTCAGGGAGAGAGTAGAATGAGCAGGCCAGAGGCCCTCCAGCTGGATTTGTTCACAGGCTGTAACTGCTGCAGTGAAGGGTCCAGTCTCATCCCCGGGTGCATAATCCTCACTTCCCAGCATGGAAAGTTAACGCTATTACAACAGGAAACTTGCCACCACAAAGTATTTTGTCTCAACTATTAAAACTGACACTGGATGACCCTGTCAGAGGAGCTTAGAAATCTCAGCACTGAGTGGGAGGTAGGACGCAACCATCCCATCCAGGGATGGGATCCCAGGATGACCCAGGGCTGGAAGCAGCAGCCAAGAAGAAAGTCATTCAGAAGGGAGCCTGGGAGGAGGGTGTGAGGTGCCACCGGGCAGCCATAGGCTGTCGGTACCCACCAGGGCTTGTCTCTGTCACTGCTTGGAGTGGCTGCTGTGTGGGTCTGTCCATGGCTGTGCCTATGCATGAGCGTGTGGCTGTGAGTGTGTGGACATCATGTGTGTCTCTGAGGCTTCGGTGAGTTTGAGGATGTTCTGGCTGTGCGTGTGTAAGCATCTCGGTGTAAGCGTTAAGTCTAAATGTGCATGTGTACCTACCAAGTTTGGCGGGCGTTTGTGTATATCAGGCACAGAGGATCTATCCGACTTGTATGTGTGTGTCTTAGTGTGACTCAGTATGTGTGGGCACCTGTCTGCCTTCATGTGTGTATAGGTATCTCACATGTATATGGTGTTGAATGTGTCTTCTTGGGTTTACAGATTTTGTGTGTGTGTGTGTGTGTGTGTGTGTGTGTGTGTTTATCTGGTGAGTTCTGATAGCATGGCTACATGTTTTGATATGTGGGTCTCTAGGTTTCAGTGTGTTTGTTTGTCCTAGTTCCTGTATTTGTGTTTGTGGGCACATATGCCTATCTTGATATGCGTATTGTATTTCTGTTTCTGCGTGGGTGGAGCAGTCCCATGGTCTCCCTCTTGTTACCAGAATGCTTTCCAATTAGGAGCAACACTAAATAAATCTTCCATGTGCAAATCCTACAGGGACTCCCTGTTTCTGCAAATTAAAATCTAGCTCCTCCAGGCTGACATCTAGGGGTCCCCCTTGTCAGCATTCAGTAATCTGACTGCACCTGTTTTCCTCCAAGTGCTCAGGATAGTAACAACTACAGCCTGCTTTTTTGTTTCTTTGCCTAGAGTTCCCTTACTCCATCTCTGGCTAACAAATCAAATTCATCCTCTAAGACCCAGTGCCAATGTCTTCTCCTCCAGGAAGCTGATCCAACCCTTCATGTCCATGCACCCACCACGGATGTGTTGACCAGACCTCTCAGGGTGGGACATGAACTCTCCTGCCCTGGCTTCCAAAGGACATTACGTATCTCCCTCACTAAGCAAAGATTCATTGTAATGATGTGTGCAAATATTTCCTCCTCTACCAGAGGATGACAAACTTATAGTGAGGGAGTTCATATTATGTCCTTTGCAGCTTCCAAGATGCCTAGTCTGATGTCTTGCACACACAGGCTTGCAGTGAATGTTTACTGAACTTGAGTTCAGCTATGCAGCAAGCTAGAAAGTGGAAAGAGTGCTCACTGCCTCAGGGCCTTTAGAACTGAGCAAGTATAAGGCACAGGCCTGAGAGTTTTCAGCCCCAGGTGCTGTAGGGCTGAAAAAAGCCTTTTACCCTTTCTGAACTCAGGATTGGTATCTGAAAGAGCCTTTTCAAGGTCAAATGAGACAGGTCTGCCAGGTTTTTAATTCTTGGAAGCATGGTTACCTAAGAACTGACCTCTCAAGGGCTCGGCACAGCTCCAAAGGCCCCATCCACAATGGAATCATACCCAACTCCTGCAGCCAAGACGGTGTCCAGTTACCATTTTTCCTTTAGTAGCCCTTGATCATCCTCTGTCCCCACCATGCACATACTCTAAATCCCAAGGTCCTCTCAGGTGGGCTGGGGTTTGGCAGTGTGAGGATACAGCTTCTTCTGCCTCTTCCACCAGCCAGACCTCCAGCCTCCAGAGCTGAGCTAGACCCTGACTGCCGCTGATGGGGAAGGGAGCAAGAAGCACTCTCCAAGACCCAGTGCTAGGAGAAAGTCCACCGGAGCAAAGTTGTGGATGCCTGCACTTTGGCTGCCTCTTGAAGGAGGCAGCAGTGTTTGACTCATAATTTTAGGGGAGTATACCAGAAAGGTCAAAATTTTACAAAAAGATTGGCATATCAAATATTGATAAGGGTGTGGTACAAATGGAACTCCCATAGACTGCTGGCAGGAGGGTAAATTGGCACCATCACTTTGGAAAACTGACGGTGTGTACTAAGGCAAAACATACTTCTATCCTGTGTCCCAGCAGTTCTACCTCTACATATTCACTCAACAGAAACCAACACTACGTTCAAGAATGATTACACTCAAATTCATATGTAATTGCAAGAGGCCTCAACTAGGCAAAACAATCTTGAAAAAGAAGAATAAAACCATAGACTCACATTTCCTGACTTCAAAACATACTACAAAGCTATGGTAATCAAATCAGTGTGGTAGTGGCATAAGGAAAAACTTTGTACCAATGGGATAGAATTGAGAGTCCAGAAATAAACCCATATTTCCTGGCCAACTGATTTTTGACAAGAGTGCCAAATCCACTCAATGGGAAGAGAACAGTTTCTTCAACAAATGATGCTGGGACAACTGGATTTCCACATCAAAAGAATGAAGTTGTACCCCAAACCACAAACATCACACTACAGTAATCCCCCCTGTCTTATTTAAAGTTTTGATTTCTGAGGTCTCAGTCACCCAAGGTCAATTGTGGTCTGAAAATAGGTGAATAGAGTACATTAAGATATTCTGAGAGAGAGAGAGACAGGGAGGGAGAGAGAGAGAGAGAGAGAGAGACACTACATTTACATG